AAGTAGGGGCTGCACTGGAGCAGAAGAGGTGTACTCCAGCATCTTAGAGCATCTTCATTGTGGACAGTATTTTTACCAAATGAAGGGGGTGGTGACTGCCACATAGACTAAACCATTTGAAACCAGCGTGAGAAGGGATAGAGGCTGCTGTGCAGAACAAACCATTGGGACAAACCAGAGTCGGTCAGATGAGGAAGTTTGTGGATTAACTTGTAGATGGAAGCAGGGAGGAAATAGGAGATTAAATGTAGCTGTACGTGATTCACTGCCTACCTCCCTTCTCTAGGTTCCCTTCCCTGCCTTAGATTTCAGCCCCTGAAATCTGGACCTGTTGTCGCTTTTGCACAGCCCACGCTTCATGGGGCTTCTCTTTATAGGAGATGATCAATATTCTTTTATATTTTTCTAATGTTAATAAATTTCCTGGCCTTTTGTTGTTTTCTGGTGACTGGATTAATTTTGTGTAACCTCTTGCAGTGTGAGAGAGCTCTGTAGTGCATGCACACAAGATGCACTGCTTGGGGCTTGGAGAGGGGAATTTTGATGTAAGGAATGAAATAGGGCCACACAAAGTAGGCTGGAGCATTTGAGCAAAATGTGGATCATCCCAGGAGCTAGGTTACGAGGAACTAACAATTTCATTTTCTAGGCCCTTCACCTCACCTCCACTATGGAGATGTCTGTCCTGACTTACTGCCAGCTTGGATCACCCATTTCCAACATTCCAACAAAGAGCTCCCCATTACCCTTATCTATCAAATGAATTCCCCATTAACATCCACAGTTCCTTCAACTCCCCCCTGAAAGCCTACTTGTGCTATAATGTGGACAGCACCCATAGCTGGGCAGTTGGTGTTCAGTGACTGCTCTTTGTGTTCGTTGCCTTCTCTCCCCACCCTTTTTATCAATTGTGCTCATCTGTTGTCTCATCTTATATTTGGAATAGTAGGTTCGTTCTGTGTTTCTACAACACCTAGCACCTTGGGCCCTCATCCTTGACTGGCTGCCATTGCAATAAAGTTGTACAGTGGTTTTAAATGGGTTTGGAGCCAGGAATTTGCCATTAGAATGGGAAATCATCACAAGGAACTACTGCAAGTTGGTGGAGCTTCAGGGTAAGAGGGGACAAAAGGTTTACAAATGGAAAAGGTAGGAAGAATGCTGCAGGTTCTACAGCAGGAGAGAAGACGGGACATGCTGGGAAAGACTATAGAATAGAAGAAAAAGAGTGGATTTTGGGTTGAGGAATATGAGTTGTCCTAACCCCTCTAGCCAGGAGAGGGCACTGTTGATTAACCCCTTCTAGTGACTTCTTGGATCACAAGGCAATAGTGCTGGCTATATGATTCGATTATAAAAGATGGTGAATTGGGCAGAAGGGCCATATCCAAATTCCCCAGTGTAATTAGTGCACTGTAATCTGAGGTAATTCACGTTTTCACCTGTTCTAAGGATCAAAAACTTCATAAGCCGCACGTCAGGACCTGTTGCTTAGGCAGAAGCACTTCTCACTTACCAGAGATGTGCAGACCTTGTGTAACTTCCTGGCTGTGCTTTGGGCTTTGAGAGTGTGGTGGAGGGGAGAAATAAAGCCAGTCATGCCATGCAGCTGTTGCAAGAAGGATTCATGGTTGAGGTATGTATGCTGCTGCAAAGAGAAACCAGTGCTATACTTCTGCATGATGAAATGTCAATCAGCTGTTTTCCTTGTTCTTTCCCCTTTTATGACTGAGTTTTTCCAGCTTAGGTGGTAGAACTGCAGTTTTTGAGCAGGAGCTGGCCTTATCTGTGCTGAACCTCATATCAGGTTCAATTCCTGGCTTTGCTGCAGATTACCTGTGTGACCTGAGGCAAGTAATGTCACATCTCTAGGCCACATTAACGCTCTGTAAAAAGAGGATAATAATCCTCCCTTTGTCTTTTATCCATTTAAAGGTGGCTATTTTGGAGCAAAGACTATCTCTTACTTCGTGTTTGTGTAGTACCCAGCATTGGGAGGCCCTGGTCTTACTTGGGTTTTCTAGGTGCTATTATGATATAATTTAAAATTGAAGCCCTCGTGATTACTTATTCAGGCTGTTGTAAGTGGAACCATTGCTATCCTCCTCTGTCATGATATAGATCTAGGTGTTTGAGTTCTCATAACTCCGGTCATCTGAAGAAGTGGACTGTGCGCACAAAAGCTCATGATACCATCTACATGTTTTGTTAGTCTATAAAGTGCTACCAGACCGTTTGTTGTTTTTTTCTGTAACAGACTAACTCAGCTACCCCCTGAAGCTCCTTTAACTTTCTCGTCAGGGATGTACATTTAGGGTTGCCAGATGGTTTCAACAAAAATACTGGAAACACTTAACATTACATCACAATCAATATTATATCTTATTTAGAAAATACTGGACATTTCTATTTTCTCAATTTGTTTCCTGAACAGAAAGCTCAAATACTTGACTGTCCAGTTCAAAACCGGACACCTGGCAACCCTAGATGTAATTTCCTCCCTTTCCCACCCCCAGCACAGCAAGTTACAGTGCTGAGAAGCAACTGTGTGCACAGGCTTCCAGGGCTGTAAGGTAATCTCTTCATGGAGGGAATTTACTTAGAACTCTCTCAGTGCTGCTGTTGTGACCACACTCATTAAAGTGCTCATCCAATGGGGCCCTGCATCTTAGTCTGCTTTTCCTCCCTTTGGAGGGAGAAATTCCTTTTTAAACCACGGTAGTCTTTTGATCTCTGCTGTGTGCTGGCGTTGTCTTGCCATGCCATTGTCTCTTAACAAACCTCAGCTGCTTATAGCTTAAGCTTTTCCTTCCTCATTTTTGCTTACAGGACACCTGAGTGGCTTGGCATCCTGCTTGCAATATAACCCTGGTGCCAGGATGTAATGGAGTGGGGATTGTGTTCACTCTGTTTACTTTGTTGTGCTGAAAGTGATTCCTATTGTACTGTTCTGTTGTAACCCTGTGTGTGCCTCAGTTTCCCTGGGTACTGCATTGGTGTCTGGCTGGGGATAGGAATGTTGGGTTGGCTGTCACTGAAGGGAGGCTACCCCAGGCTGTCCCATCTTAGCAGTACACAACAATAGCTCAGGCTGTCCTATAACCTGAGCCTGGGTGGGTAGAGCAACCAGCTGACACCTTGCTCAGGAACCTGAACAAAGGAGGGGGCAGAGCCGCCTCCAGGCTGGGGGATGAGGTGGGGCGTATATGAGTTCTCTGCTGGTGGAGGATGCAGGGAGGGGGCCCAGGGTGCTGGCCCTGGGTCTCCCTCGCCCTAAACTGGATTGGACTATCTGCTTCTGGTTCCTGTGTTAACAAGTCTGTGCTATGCTGTGTCCCTATCAAGGAATGAAACTTTTGTTCTACTTGCTAGCTGAGAGTCAGAGCTGGCTGTGGATGGGGGTGCGAGGCCTGGAGAAACTGAGGCGCAAACACGGGGTTACAACAGAGCAGTACAGGACAGCAATGACTGGAAAACTTAACTTCTGAAAAAAGGGGTTGGGGAAGCTTTCCAGTTAGGCCTGACTGTATAACTCATTCTTGGCTGTGTTTTGCTTTGACATTACGGAATCACATACAGCATACCAGAGCAAACCCAATCCCCACTCGGTCACACGGGGCAGGGCGATAACCCACGCTGTGGACACGGGGCAAGGGTCCCTCTCCCCAGATGCTGCGCTGGGTGGCTGTGGAGGCGGGGGGGAGGGGCTGTGCCATGAGTCACTGGCCCATGGGGGTTCACACCCACTGAAGGCTGGGTCAGGTGGTGGGCTCGTCGTGACAATGGAATGGGGGGGTGGAGTCACGCGAAGTGGGGGGTTCTGCAGTTTGTGGAGTATACTATGACGTCACAGAGAACGGTACCATGAAGTCATTGGGGGGGGGGTATTCCCTCTCCGCGGCTTATT